TTCTAGAACATGACACTGCCATGGGATGCTCATCAAAGGAACAATTTAGGTGGATAACCTTGTAAACTTCAGAAGCACAGTGCCTTCATTTTGACTCTTACAAAGACTGGATAGAAAAGGTGTGTATGTCTTGCTGTCTGTGGACTTAGATCAATGTCCTAGGCCTTTCAAATGAGCCCAGACCAAAAAGGAGCACATACAAGCTGCAGAGGTCGATGGTGTTTGATAGTTGGGATGCCATGGAAGATTTCACATTCTTCAGCTCTAATCTCTTATAACAGAATGGAATTCAACCTAACTCCTGAAAAAATAAGTCAGGTCTGGTCAGTGTGATGCCATTTCCCATGTATCCATCAGGATTTGTTTTTGGTGGATTAGTGCTCTCATTTACGTGTTTTCTTCTTGGTCAGCAGTGTTATTGTTTTAGCTGATACTTTCAAAAGGTGTTTATTTTTGCTGCTAATCTAAGATGAGCCCTGTAATTATCTGTGAAATAGAAGCAATTCCTTTCTGTAGCTGTGATGCTCTCTGGACATAATGCCTGGTGATCACCATTTCATGTTTTCTGACGTGCCTTTTTCCATGGCTATTGTCAAAACACTTGCATCGCATTTCAACTGCCTTTGTCCTTCATTGATATGTTTTACCAAAAATGCCTCAGACAAAAAGCAACGACTTTTTGTCTCCTAGATGGATTAAGTGCCATTCTAGTGTTTGTGATGAGCAGTATCCTTCTCTGCCTTAGTATTTTTATTCAATGCAAGTTTTGTTGGGTATTTTACATGTTAGGCTGTAGCCTAGAGTATGACAGCCCCTTAATAAAACTAAATAAAATATTTTAACATTCACAGTTTCACACCTTTTCAAGTGGCAAAAAGATGGCTGGAACAAAGAGGTAAGAAGAATAACAGCCTTTCTCCAGTTTCTAGCTCTTCTTCACCTTGTCCTCTATTCTTGGCCACCCAAACATAACTTGGACATGTTGTGGCTATGCCACTGTTTCCTCATCTCTTTCTATCTTTTCCCTGCTCTGAGAGATGCTTTGCTAGATGCTGTACCATTGTCTTTCAGGACTTAATACCTGTTTACCCTGGGCAGACCTTATGGTTCCCTGACATTTCTTCAGCCTTTTTTCTTCCCTAGTTTTCATCTGCTTCTTCCTCTCTCTTTTTTTTCAGCACTTTCTCTCCCTTCCTGTACCAGACCTTCTTTTGGGGGATCATTTCTGAGAATTTTTGCATTCACTCTTAGTCTGTTTATTCCTTGCTTCACGCAGCCTTTTACAGACTGGGTAACTCTGTTGATCATGTTAGGAAGAAATTCCACCTCTGTCTAGAGAGAGAGAGAGAGACATATAATCATTCAGGATTTTCTCCCTCTCTCTCTCTCTCTCTCTCTCTCTCTCTGTTATCTGATTCTGGCTTTTTTTCTGAGATGGAGCACTGCTCTAGGTGCTTCCTGGAGTTCCAGTGGCATGGGAAACCTTTACGCTGCCCAAGCCTGGGTGAGTGTGTAACAGCTGAGCCTGGATTGTGCAATATTCCTTGAAAGTGGAAGTCTGCATCAAGACTTCCAGGTTCAGTTTGGACTTTCTCCTGGAAGGGAGCCTAATCCATGAATGACCAACATGAGGCCAAAGTACCAAAGTATCCATCCACGATGTTCTTGAAAATCCCTGTTTTCTGTCTGTTTACACCTTCAGTCTTGCTCTGATGTCCCCGAACATGTCAATACTGACAGCTGGAGACCTGGCACTCGATGCAAACACAATGCTGTAGTGGGATTAAGACTATTTACAATAAGTGGTTACTTGCTTTATGTTTGAAGCAGATGGAAAATACACCAATGAAAATGTCGTTTGTAAACGGATCAAGAATAATCACAGTGCATACTTCTGAAGACTGCAGTGAAACATCTAAAAAAAAACAACCAACCCACCAAAAAATCCTTGTGCTCCCCTACCCCCACCCTTCCTCTCCAAGCATCATGGTCACAGCTATTTTAAAGGTGGGAATAGAAAGGGGGTAAAAATAATCTTCTGTTTTTCGGATCACTATCAAAGTTTTAAATCTCTTGTATACGTTTGTACTGAGCCTAATACAATTGTCCTGGTGGAGATCAGTGAGTAGTAGATAATTAATAACTTCTCAAGATCTTCATGCACGCAAACAGCCTCTGTATTTCTAAGGAGTCAGGGGCACTCCGAACACCCTTCTCCTCATGTTCACAGGCTCTGCCTTTCCACTACAGAAAAAGCCTCTTCAGAGGCTTCTGGGCTGTTCCAGTTACCAGAAATATCCAGAAAAGAAACTTGAATTTGAATTATTAATTCAACAACATCATTATGAATGAACTGCAGGAAACAATGCATCTTCTTCCTATGTAAACAGTGTAAATAAAACTTTTGATAAGCACTTTACTGCATTGAATTCCTCATTCTTTTCTTTGAGAGCGTTCCAAAGTTTAGTGTGCAGCTTAATCAACTTCATACGCGCTTGAGTTGGGCAAGTCAAAACTAACATGACCCTGCACAAGGAAAAGCATCCCTCGCACGAGAAATCCCATTCTGCTTATTTACTATATATGAAAACAGCCCCAGCCATTCCTTCCCTGAGGCAACAGGAACTTTTCCATGTTTCCTTAACCACCGCCACCCTTCAACACTTTTCAGGACGAAAACCTTGTTCTCAGGATGACCCTGGCTGCCTGGTCATCAAAGCAGAGATAGAACTGATGAAGCAAAATGACCAAACCTCCAACTTTAATGTATTCAGCTGCAAAGTATGGTGCTATTTAACCTCTCTTTTCTGTCAACTATTGATCACACTGAAATTCTTTTGAATATAAAATTTAGAGCCCTGCTTGGCACAGAGTTGAGTACAGGATTAGCTTCACCTGCAGATTACCATTTTTAAATTAGCAAGGCTGTTAGCATGGGTTAAATGAATACATATGTAAGTTAATATAATATTTTTTAATTAAAAAGATAGTGTGTTGATACAGTGCTATGTGGGTGGCAAGGATTAAAGAAAAGTCAAGGGAGACAAGTTAAGTAGTTTAGGCAATGAATCAGATCTTCACTGAGTGGCAAAAGTTCTGGAAAAAAACCCACCTTTTGGAAGCATATTTATGCCAGGCCTATATACAAGCCTTTTAAAATCTGCATTCATGACACTTGGGTCTAGGCTGGAAATCATCCAGAGGACTTCAGCTCTGTGCTCTGGGAATCAATTCAATTCAAAAAAGGAGTGTTTTGGGAGGGTCGGTGACCACCTCTGGAATGTGTTAAATTAAATCCTTTGTAATCTATAGACAGACATCACAGGGGTTACAGCAGTGCAAACCTCTCTTCATTTCAGACCTTGTCACTGGATACTCTCTGGTTGGAGCGGGAGGGTAAGCAACACGATGTGGAGACAGGTGTCTCCTGAACTCTTGGGTCCAAGCACCCAGGTCCTGTTTTTGTTCCTGTTATCTCCAAATCAGGAGAGGCTGCCTGGAAGAGGTGAGGGTTTCGCCCTGTGAGAAAGACCCGCAGCTTTCTCTAGCTTCAAGACAACAAGTCCTGTCTTTGCTTACTTATTATTTGTATAAAGGAAAAAGAAGTAATTATGACAGAATAAACATCTGAAACATTCTCTTGAGAGCAAAAGCCAAAACAAGTGGGGGGAAAAAAAATCTGCCATGCAGCACTCCTTTGCTTAACTGAGCACAGGAGTAGAGACAATGTGCAGCGTTGCCTAGAGGAGAGAAATACCTTGAAGCTGGCAGTTCATAGACCGTGGTGACAGTGGATGATGTACAAGTCAGGAAAAACTTCTGGAAAATCCCACAGTTTCCCAGTTTATCTGTCATTAGTTTTTTTCTGGGTACCGGACAACATACCAAAGGGATTAACAGCTTAATCATAGCTGATTCATATATGGGGATCTGCATTGTTTATTTATTTATTTTGTTATCAGGAACTTCCTCT